CAACGGGAGGGTGCCCCCCCCCCATTTTTATCGGGGTCCCCAGTTTTGGGGGGGGGTCCCAAATTTTGGGGGTCCCCAACTTTTTTGGGGGGGGGGGGGATTTTGGGGACACCCCACCCCTCCCCCCCTCCCCTCGAAGGGAGGGGTGCCCCCCTCAGAGACTGTGAACGGGGGTGGCGAGGGGAGCCCCCCGCCCCGGTGTCACCCCAATGGCTGCACTGCACTTTCTGGACCGGGTGTCCCCCCCCAGACTTGGGGTCCCTCCGAGCCCACCCCGGTTTCGGGGGGGGTTTGGGCGTCCCTGTCGTTCCCCGCCCCCTGTGTCCCCCCATGATCACTCAGGACTTGGGGAGCCCCCCCTGAATTGGTGTCGCCTCACCTCGTGTGTCCCCTCTGTGTGTCCCCGATGTCCCCCCGTGTGTGTCCCCCCCTCTCCTTCCCCCCCCAGACTTGGGGTCCCTCCGAGCCCACCCCGGTTTCGGGGGGGTTTGGGCGTCCCTGTCGTTCCCCGCCCCCTGTGTCCCCCCATGATCACTCAGGACTTGGGGAGCCCCCCCTGAATTGGTGTCGCCTCACCTCGTGTGTCCCCTCTGTGTGTCCCCGATGTCCCCCCCGTGTGTGTCCCCCCCTCTCCTGGGCTCCCCACACCCCCCCAAGCAATAACTGGAGCCGCCGGACGCGCCGATGGCGGAGGACGACGGCGGAGGTAGGGCCCTGCCCGGGGGTCCCCCCTGTCCCCCTGCGGTGGCAGCGACACCCCAAGATGGGGGGAGAAGGGGGGAAACCGGCCCCACTGCGAGGCCAGGCTGCGTTTCCATGGTAACGGGACTAGGCCTGAGCGCTACTGCGAGGCCAGGCTGCGTTTCCATGGTAACAAGACTAGGCCTGGGCGCTACTGCGAGGCCAGGCTGTGTTTCCATGGTAACAGGACTAGGCCTGAGCGCCGCTGGGAGGCCAGGCTGCGTTTCCATGGTAACAAGACTAGGCCTGGGCGCTACTGCGAGGCCAGGCTGCGTTTCCATGGTAACTGCACTAGGCCTGAGCTCTACTGCAAGGCCAGGCTTTGTTTCCGTGGTTACAGGAGTAGGCCTGAGCTCTACTGCGAGACCAGGCTGTGTTTCCATGGTAACAGGACTAGGCCTGGCTCATTACTGCAAGGACAGGCTGCATTTCCATGGTAACAAGACTAGGCCTAAGCTCTACTGCAAGGCCAGGCCGTGTTTCCATGGTTACGAGATTTGGCCTGAGCCGTGCTGGGAGTCCAGGCTGTTTCCATGGTAACAGGGCTAGGCCTGAATTCTGCTGTTAGTCCAGGTTTTGTTTCCATGGTAACGGGACTAGGCCAGTCCTCACTGCAAGGCCAGGCTGTGTTTCCATGGTAACAAGATCAAGCCAGAGCCCTCACTACAGCCCCAGGCAGCGTTTCCATGGTAACCGCACTAGGCCTGAGCAGTGTTCTGGCCGCAGGCTGTGTTTCCATGGAAACAGAACCAGGCTAGGAACTGTTGCAAGGCCAGGCTGCATTTCCGTAATAACAGGACAAGGCCTGAGCCTTCATGGTGAGATCAGGCTGTTTCCATGGTAACAGGAGGAGGTCAAGCCCTGCTGTGAGGAGAGGCTGGGTTTCCATGGTAACGGGAGCAGGCCTGAGCTCTGCCCTTAGTCCAGGCTTTGTTTCCATGGTAATGGAACTAGGCCAGGCACTACTGCAAGGCCAGGCTGCGTTTCCATGGTAACAGGAGCAGGTCTGAACCCTCACTTTGACCTCACGCTGTGTTTCCATGGTAACGGGAGCAGGCCTGAGCCCTCACTGCGAGGCCAGGCTGCGTTTCCATGGTAACGGGAATAGGCCAGAGCCCTCACTGCAAGGCCAGGCTGCGTTTCCATGGTAACGGGACTAGGCCAGGCACTACTGCAAGGCCAGGCTGCGTTTCCATGGTAACGGGAGCAGGCCTGAGCCCTCACTGCAAGGCCAGGCTGAGTTTCCATGGTAACGGGAGTAGGCCAGAGCCCCCAAATCAGGCCTTGCCCCCTTTTGGGGGGGGCCGGGACCCCCCCAAACCCGTTCTCCCCCCCGGGGGGGTCCCTGGGGGCGGCAGTTTGGGGGTGGGGCCCCCCTGGGCGCCCCCCGCCCCGACCAGCATGTCTGCATGTCCGACCCGCCGGTATTTATTGTAATATGCAAAAAAAACCCCAAAACCCCCTGAATCAACCCAAACCTGCCCTCCCCCCACCCGGGGGTCCCCATTTATCGGGGTCCCCCCTCCCCCA